TTCTCATTTAGACGCCTATCGCTCGCCCTCTCGCCCCCCACTTATACTCGACGTCTCGCGATCGCGCTGCCTTCAGTCTTGCTCTCACTCGAGCGTGCGTACTGAGGGTAAGCCGATCCCATTTCCCCCCGTTCATGTTCACCTTACTAACTGTACTGTATGTAGACCCGCGTCGCTTTACTTACAGGTACAGCACAATGATTAGTCTTGCTCTCACTCGAGCGTGCGTACTGAGGACCCGCGTCGCTTTACTTACAGGTAACCGACGCCGACGCACACGCTCTCGCTCACAGGTTATGAGCCCTGCGCGAAGGCCTTAACTTGCAAGACTCCTCGCGCAGAACCCGATCGCTCTCATCTCCCTACCCGCTCTCTCTCTGCTTATCATCATGTCTGCCTCGTCTTCCCCATCTCTCGGCGACTTCATCAACGGCGTCGAGAAGCTGGACTCGAAGGGAAAGAACTGGATTGTCTTCGAACAACAGTTCACGGTTGCCGCTCGCCAGAAGGAGGTCTGGGACCACTTCACCGGCAAGTCGACCCGTCCCACGCCTGTCGAACCTCCTGCGCCCGCTGCGCCCGCTCCACAGCCCACACCTGCCCCGCCTGCTGCGCCTGCTACAGGTGCTGCGCCTGCTACGCCCGCGGCGCCGCCCGTTGCACCCACGGAGGATGAAGCGAAGCCTCCCGTTGTCGACGAAGCTGCCGTCGCCGCCTGGGAAAAGAAGGAGAACCTCGCTTTGTATCTTCTCATGCTCAAGATCGCGCCGGTCACATACGCGAAGCACAAGCGCAAAGGCACCGTAGCCAAGATCTGGGCTGCGATCGTGGCCGAGTTCTCGAGCAAGTCACTTCTCGCCCGCTCGAATCTCCGTCGTGATTTCTTGAACATGAAGTACACGCCGGGCGCCGACCTTCACACCGAGTTCGACCGACTTCGCCTTGCGTACGAGAACCTCCTCACCTTCGAGATCAAGGTCCCCGACACCGAGTACGCTTCAGTCGTCATCAACTTCCTCCCCGCCGACCTCTCCTCGTTCATCTCGCAAATCTCCGCCCAGATGAAGCTTCATCAACACTTCAATGCGATCACGTCGAAGGCGTCTACGGACGACGACGACGATGACGTTGACAAGGCCATCATCGACCCGGAGATGATGATGGACATTGTGTTGGAGGAGTGGGACCGCCGCGAGCTCGATCGCAAGGGGAAGGGCAAGGGCAAGGACACCGGTATCGCAGCCAGCGTCGTCTCGACTGAGAAGCCGAAAGGCGGCAAGAACAACGGCCGTGGTCCACGCAAGCCCGTCGGCGTCTGCTGGACGTGCGGCGGTAAAGGACACAAGGAGGCGGACTGCCCGAGCCCGAAGACTGACAAGGGCAAGGGGAAGGAGACGCAGCGCCGGGACAACTCACGCACCCCGAACGCCGCGCCCAAGCCTGCGCCGGCCCCTGCCGCCGGTGCCGCCAATGTTGCGACGACTGCGCGCATTGAAGAGATCGGGCGCGTCGATGGTGCCTGGTCTGCGATCCCGTCCGTCTACTTGCAGCCGCAAGTCGAGACAGACAGCGAGTCTTCGGACTCGGACGACGACGCCTGGTCTGCCGCTGGAGGGTCCGCCTATACGGAGCTCACAGAGTCTTCGGCTGACGGCATGCCCTCACTCCAGACTGTCACCGCATCTGCGTCCGTCGTTTCGTCTAGCCGCCCGCCACGCTACGACGACCTCGAGTCTAGCTCGGAGGATGAAGAGGACGCCCCCGCACCGGAACATTTGCCGTATCCGGAGCGCATGAAGAATGTAGTCGACTGGGTCAACACTGTGTTCGGGCGACAGAGCGAGGGTGACGACCCTGCTACGCTGAGCGCTGCTGCGCACACGCCCGACGCCGCTTCTGCTGCGGCCGACCAACCTGTGGACCTCTACGACTCTGGGGCGACACACCACATGTCTCCGTTCCGTGAACACTTCGAGACGTTCACGGAGACTCCTGCGCGGTCGCTCAATGCCGCAAACCAGCAACAATTCCACGCCACGGGCATCGGGAGCATGGTGATACCTGTCCCGAATGCGCCGTCCGAGGACACCCGTATTCGCCTGCAGGACGTCCTCTACACCCCTGCTCTCGGCTTCAACCTCGTCTCAGTTGGCCGTATCGATGATGCGGGCTATGCCGCGACCTTCGCCGACGGCCAGTGCACCATTTCGGACGCAAATGGATCGACTGTCGGGCGCATCCCGAAGACTCGAGGGCTGTACCTCGTTGTGCGGGAGAACGACGCCCCCGCAGCTCATGCCGCTACTGCCAAAGTCGACAAGCTCACGCCGATGCAGGCCCATCGTCGTTTCGGCCATGTCGCCATTCGCTCGATTCGGGAGCTCATCTCTCGCCGCTTCATCACTGGGGTTGAACTGCTGCCGCCCGAGCCGGGCGAAGACACCGAGTGTGAAGCGTGTATCCGCGCGAAGTCCACACGCAAGCCTGTGCCTACCGAGCGTCAGGGCGGACGTGCCACTGAGCTCGGCGAAGAGATTCACTCGGACCTCTGGGGCCCTGCTCGAGTCTTGACACTGGGAGGTCGCCGGTACTATGTCAGCTTCACCGACGACTACACTCGCTTTACAACCGCCTATCTCCTGCGCCAGAAAAGTGAAACTTTCGAGTCTTTCTGTGCGTTTGAAGCGTGGCTGGACAAGCATCACGGCGTCAGCATTCGCTTCCTCAACACGGATCGAGGCGGCGAGTATCTCAGCGACGAATTCAAGACGCACCTCGAGCAGCACGGTATTGAGTACAAGCTCTCCGTGCACGACACGCACGAAGAAGCTGGCGTCTCCGAGCGTCTCAACCGCACCCTCATGGAGAAGGTCCGCGCAATGCTGATCTCGTCGGGCCTTCCGCGTTTTCTCTGGGGCGAAGCTCTCATGCACGCTGTCTGGTTGAAGAACCGCACCGCAACGAAGGCGCTCAAGGGCCGCACTCCGTTCGAAGCGGCGACCGGCTCCCCTCCGAACCTCAGCAACGTCCCCGAGTGGGGTGCGAAGGTCTGGGTTCACAACACCGCTGATGGCAAGGTTGGTGACCGAGCCAAGGCGGGACGCTGGGTCGGCTTCGACGCCCAAAGCAAGGGCCACCGGATCTACTGGCCGGAGCAGCGGATTTCGGTGGAGCGTAACGTGCGCTTCACCAAGCCTGACCTGCCCGTCTTCGAGTTCGACGATGCTGCCGAGCTTGAGGGGGAGGATGGGCGTGAAGTCAAGTCGACTACGCCGTCCGAACCTGCCGCAGACGAGCCCGTCAACTCAGATGCGGACACTGACACCTCCGACGTGCCCATGCAGCCTGCTGATCCACTGCCGCCACCTCCTGCGCCCGTACCCCCACCCGTGCCTGCGCCGTCTCGCCCGACGCGTGTACGCAACCCGTCTGCGAAGGTCAAGGCCATCTTGGCCGGTCAGAGCGTCGACAAGAAGCTCCCGAGGGGCGTGGTCGTGCAAGACAACGCTCCGAACGAGCCGCTCGTGCCCGAGCTCGTTGAGGAGATCGATGGCTTCGCAATGGCCGTACAGATGGCGGACGTCGAAGGACTCGACCCCCGCTCGCTCGAGGAGGCGAAGCGGCGGCCCGAGTGGCCGCGTTGGGAGGAGGCGATGCGAGAGGAGATGGACGCGCTCGAAGCGCATGGTACTTGGCGTCTCGAGAAGCCGCCGCCCGACGCTAACATTGTCAGCTGTCGGTGGGTGTTCCATGCGAAGAAGGACGCCTCGGGCAACGTCTACAGGTACCGTGCACGCCTGGTTGCTCGCGGATTCTCGCAGATACCTGGCATCGACTTCTTCGACACCTACGCACCCGTTGCGAAGACCGCTTCGATTCGCACTGCACTCGCCTTCGCCGCTCGCCATGACTTTGAAGTCCACCAGCTCGACGTCAAAAGCGCCTATCTCAACGGTGAATTCGAAGAGAACGAAGTCATCTGGATGGCGACGCCGCCTGGCACGCAGCTCACAAAGGACAAGACGCTCGCCCTACGCCTTCTTCGACCGCTGTACGGCTTACGACAGAGCGCGCGGCACTGGCACAAGAAGCTCCTTCGTGTGCTGCAAGCGAAGCTTTCGATGTCGCAGTGCGACGTCGACCAGGCCGTGTTCTTCCGTGTTGCGGGCACTGACCTCATCGTCATTGTAGTCCACGTCGATGACCTCACCGTGGTCGCGTCGAGCACCGCTCTCATCGCTGAGGTCAAGTCGAAACTTCGTGAAGTCTTCGAGATCTCCGACGAGGGCGAAATCCATTGGATCCTCGGCTTCTCGGTCGCTCGTGACCGTACGAGCCGCCGTCTTTCGCTCTCGCAGACGTCCTACATCGAGTCCATCATCCGCCGCTTCGGGCTTGAGGACGCGAAGCCTGTCTCGACGCCGATGGATCCACACGCCACGCTCAGCGCCGCCCAGTCCCCGAGCACCACCGCCGACATTGCTGCAATGCGGGACGTGCCGTACCGCGAGGCGGTCGGTTCGCTTATGTACGCGTCTCTCGGGACACGTCCGGACATCACGTACGCTGTCGGCATCCTCTCGCGCTTCTCTGATAACCCCGGGCGCGCTCACTGGGAGGCCGTTCGCCGCGTCTTTCGGTACCTCTCGGGCACGAAGCACTTGAAGCTCACGTACGGTGTGACCACCCTCGACCTCGTCGGCTACACGGACGCCGACGGCTCGATGCATGAGGACCGCAAGGCGATCTCAGGCTACGCCTTTCTCATCGACGGCGGGGCCGTTTCGTGGAGCTCGAAGCGCCAAGAACTAATTTCGCTCTCGACGACCGAGTCGGAGTACGTCGCCCTGACGCATGCCTCCAAGGAGGCCTTGTGGCTACGCTCGCTCATCGGGCAAGTCTTTGCGCCGTTCGATGTCTCGGTTCCCCTCCACTCCGACAACCAGTCCGCCATCGCCCTCGCTCGTGACCACCAGTACCACGCCCGTACCAAACACATCGATATTCGCTTTCATTTCATTCGCTGGGTCATCGACGAGAAGAAGATTCATCTCGTCTATTGTCCGACGGAGGACATGGTCGCCGACACGCTCACCAAGGCGCTCCCTTCGCCGAAAGTG